GCACACCAAAATGTATGGATTAACCAATCTAGAGAATTAAGTCAGAATATTCTTACCATCATTGACATTCTTACAGAAGAAAGGATTTCATAGTGATTTGCTAAGTTGAATTGCCAGTGGGAGCATCTCTTTTATAATGACTCTTTAGCTGATGTTGTTTGGGAAAATGTCAAATCTAGTTAATGAGTAAAATAAGTTATTTTAAAAATTTTAGTGGATGCTAGAAGGCATTCATTAAAAAGGAAACAATTTTTTTTTTTATGGGGAAGAGGTTTTAGCCATACTGGGGTTTGAACTCAGGGCCTCATGCTTGCTACCAGAAGCAATTGTTTTTAACACAAGCTTGCTTTTATTTTATATATCCGTGTTTGAAGATAAAAGAATCTAAAGGACGGAATTAGAGTATGCAATATGGTTTTCTAAAACACCTTCCAATTCAGTAGGCCAAAGTTATTTAAAAACCCTTTTTGAACTGGGCATGGTGGCACATGTCTATAATTCCAGCACTTGGGAAGCTGAGGCAGGAGGATCATGTATCCAAGGCTAGCCTGAACTGCATACTGAGACCCCATCTCACAAGGCAAACAAATTCTAAAAAAAAATTTTTGGGGACCTGGGTATATTATATGTGTTAATCACTATACTTAGTGTGTATAACACACATTTAGCATGTGCAAGGTCCTGGGTCCAGTTTCCACCTTCCAAACAAAAAACTCAGGATTAGGAGGGCACAGTATGATGAGCACCAGTGGCCATAATGTGAGTGGTGGCAGCATGGGCTCACTAAATTAGTCTCTGTATTCTAACAAAATACTCCATTTCAGGACTGCAGGCATGGCTCAAGTGGAAGAGTGCCTGCCTGGTGAGGGTAAGGCCCTGAGTTCACACCCAGACTGAAAAAAAATCCATCATGAAAAGTTTAAAGCTTTATAACTTGTCTGCTTAGCAAAAACAGAAGAATAATAAAAAATGTAGTACGAAGTTGTACAAAAACAGAAGATTTCAGACAATGTCATGGCATAATTCTTACTGCCTTTCTGGAGGGCAGATTAAACATAGAAATCAAAGTTTTGAGAATGTTGAAACCCTTGTGCAATATTTTTTACTTCTGGCTATGTCTTTGATAACAAGGCACTTCTGCAGAACTGTGTGCTTGAAAATGTACATGGCAGTGCTATTTATAAAACAGAGGATGGAAACTTAAACTTCCCAGCAAGAGGATTGGTTAGGCAGATGATGATGCATTCCTAAGTGAGACACCGTGCAACCATTAAACACTATGATATCTAAACATGTTTGCAAGTTGTAAAACAATATGTATATTGACCAATCTTTGAAAAGTAAACAAGTTTAGAAAAATTATCTTAAAGGATATTTGCTAAAATGTTAATGGATTGTCTCTGTATTATGGTTTGAGGAATTGCTTTATTTTCTTTTTTTTTTTTTCTTCTCTTTGTTTTCTTTTTTCTTTGTTTTTTCTTTGTTTTTTTTCTTTTTTTTTGTTTCTTTTTTTTAATTGTTTCTTTTTTCTTTCTTTCTTTTTGCTTTATTTTCTAAATTGTCTTTAATTAATATGTTGCTTGTGTAGTAAGTACATAATATGACTAAAAGTATAATGCTGATCATTTTTGACAGTTATCCTGTACTTTCTTTTTATATAAGTAGTGTCTTCATGGGGAATAAATTTTTTTTAACTTTTCTTCTCCCGAGTTAGTCTTTTTCTTCTTTGTTGTCCTTTATCTGACTTTTGGCATGCTGTCCTGAAATCTCTGGTAATTTTGACTCTGCTCAAACTTTAAGACTGGGCTATTAAAAAGCCAATAAAAGTTCTGAATCCTTGGGTTGGAATTGTTGACCATGACCTTACTTGGAGGGTGATCTAGCTGATACGTTCCCTTGGTGTGTACCAAGATTCTCTTCAAAAAAATAATTTCTTTACTTGAAATTCCATACAGTCCTAGTGTCTATTTCCTTCCCAAATACCTCCCTCCCCCGCCCCTCCTCTCCAGCTCTGTGTAACCTAGGCTGGTCTGTTAACTCGCCATCCTCCTGTCTCAGCCTTCTGAGTGCTAGGATTACAGTCTTGTGCCACCATTCCCAGCACCTTGGCACTTGGTGAATCTCAAAAGTATTTCCAGGCACATCATTGATTTTTAAAACTTATGACTAGAAACATAAGTTTCTATGTCTAGAAACACCTGGAAACATAATGCTTTTTGTTCAATGATATTAATATATTACTTGCATTTCACAATTGAAGAATTTTTGTTGCTCAGTGTCATGAAGATATTTCCATAGTATTTATCTCCCTTTCCCTCTCTCCTCCTCAGTACTAAGGAGTCAACTCAAGGTCTTGTGCATGGCTAGGCAAGCCACTGAGTTACATATATACTCCAAGGCCTCACAGTGATTCTCAAACTTTAGACACTATCAGAATCGCCTGAGGTGCTCATAAAAATGTAGATTCTAGGGTTTCACTCCCAGGATTTTGATTCCTAAGATTCGGGGAAGGAGTCTGTTTTTAATAGGTAGCCTCAGTTCTAATACAGATGATCAGAGAATTATACTTCAATTTATAGTAATCTAACTTTGTTACCATTAATACCACTGAAAGTTTTTTGTCGTACTTGGAGGGAAGTAGAAGTTGGGAAGATTCATTGTCTGCTTTTCAATATATGTAGCTCCTAAAAGTCTGGTAAAGGGATAAGCAATATAGCATTTACACGCAGCCAACCCTATACTTTAGTGGGCCCAGCTCTGGCCTCCTTCTAGCTAAGCCCCTCCACAGGGTGAGGATTCCCAGAGGACATACCCATCTGAAGCCCATGCAGCCTTCCAAACCATACTCAGTACCCTGGACTCCTTTGCCCAAATGCCCACTTTCTGGGTCCTCTTCCTCATCTTGACTCAATATGCAAACTTCTCAGTCCATAGAGTGGCTGGGGTCGCTTTAGTTCACCAGATTGCCCCTTAACTTCACTTCTGTTTTCCTCCCACCAAAAAATCCCTCCTGCCCTGTGATATTAGAACTCCATAAATAAAGAGGCCTAAACAGCTCCTTTGTTGAGGAAATGATTCCTCAACCTGTAGTTAATTGTCTGTAATTGCCTCTGGTAAGAGACTGCAATGTTTTAATTGTAATAAAATTTGTTAAAGGAAAGCCACAGCTTCGCAAACAATTGGGAAGTTATGGTTCTTCTGCCATACCCCTCCTTTCTTACAGCCAGAGAGAAGGAAGGCACATGTTCCATAATATTTCTTCAAAAGGGCCCGGGGGCAAAAGAGAAAGGAAGAGATTAACTGACTTAATTTAGCACTTGAAGCGATAAATCATGTGTTGCAATGTGGTGATGTTGCATCAGAACATGGCAGTTGTGGCAGTGCCATGGATATCACAACCTTCAGGGTGCTCTATGCCCATTTCCTAAAGTTTCAACTCCAAGTTTAGATCCCTTCTGTTCTATCAAGAAGAAAAGTGTTTAAATTTCATTGTACCTCACTGTAATGTCCTTTTGGTGTAGGGCAGGGGAATTTCTTTGTAGTTAAGGTCTGCTTGGGTCAAACATCACTGTACTGAGCCCCAGCATCCCTCATTTCCCATTGTTACATGCAAGCAGGGAAATGCTGAGGTTTCTTCACTTCCTCTTGGAAGTCTGTCAGGAAAGTTGGGAGGTATTATGTCAAGGCTGTAGTGTCTTTACTCTCAGAACCGTTAGTTTTGAAAGTGTCTGTAATATTTCCTGACTATTTCACATTGCCTTTATCTCAACATTTGAAAGATAGTGACTAGGAGTTTATCCCCGAGAAATAAGGGTGAGGGTTGATAATAATGGTAGGAGTGGCAGCATGGAGTGTTTCTTAGCAAGGTCTTTAATAGTCAAGATATTTATACCTAATTATTGTCTTTTAGTGTTTTGTTATGCTTAATTGTAGGAGAAAAATTCATGGTGTGGGAGAGAAATGAAACAAGTGAAAGAATATAAAAATTCAAATTAATATTAAAATATAAACTCTTGAAGGCAGATTGGTATCTTAATTATATATTATTAGAAGTGATGGTATCCATGGTAGTGAATTTGGGACTTTGAGAGACTTTAGGCAAAGATGTGGCAGATGATGAAGTTGCCTTTAATCCTGATGAAAGTGCTTTTGGAGAATGTGGTTTATCTCCTTTTTTTTTTTTTTTTTTTTTGTGAGACTGGGGTTTGAACTTAGGATTTTGTGTTTATAAAGCAGGCACTCTACTGTTTGAGCCATGCCACCAGCCTGAGAATGTGGTTTAGATTTAAATGTGACAACAGTTTTATAAAATGCAACTCTAAATTAGTCAGACTTGACTCCTAGTAACTACAGATAGCATTTTACTACCTTAGTCATTTCACACATGAGGTTCTGGCCCTGTTAAACTCCAGGGATAGAGGATCAGAGGTCTGGTTCCCAAAGGAGGAGAAGGAAAAAAGCTAAGTAATGCATGCCATTCCTCTCCCCTACCCCTCAGGTAAGAGAAGTTGCTTCTTCCTGGGGAAGAGAAGAGTGGGGGTTGCAGATGTATTATTTATGACTGGCACTGATGCCAAGGCAGGAAACACCATGAAGGGGAAGAAGCATGTCTGTTCTGTGAGTGAGAGTAGTGTGGTGGTCTTTAGAGTATTATAACAAATTGAGACTCAAAATTTTAGTAACTTGTGAATCATTTTTATAGTATGTATGGGGCTGGTGGAGTGGCTCAAGTGGGAAAGCACCTGCATAGCAAGCTTGAGGTCCTGATCAAGCCCCAGTACCACCAGAAAAAAAAATTTTTTTAATTAAAAAAGATAGCCAGATGTGTGGCCCACACCTGTAATCCTAGCTACGGGGGAGGCAGAGCTCAGGAGGGTCAAGTTTGAAAGCCACCCCAGGCAAACAGTGAGCAAGGCCCCATCTCAGCCAATAAAAAGCATTGTGGTCCAGGCTGGCCAGGATACAAAAGTGAGACCCTATTCAGAAAATCAAAAAGGGCTGGCAGTGTGGCTCAAGTGGTAGAGCATCTGCCTAGTAAGCACAAGGCCTAAGTTCAAACCCCAGTACTGCCAAAAAAAAAAAAACAAGATAGTGTATGTGATAGTTAAGAGTATGGTCTTTAAATTAATTATCTCTTAGAAATACAGGTGAAGTATTTGTAGGTGAATTGATCAGATATCTGGAATTTACCTCAGAATAACTCAGGGACAAGAAGATACAATGTAACCAGATTGTCAGTGATGTGTTAGTTATTGTAATTGGGTGATGGCACATGGAATTCATGATACTGTCTTTAGAATAATGAAAGCTTAGTTTGAATCTAAATTCTGCTATTAACTATGTGAACTTAGCTAGTTCCTCTACCTGAGTCTCCATTTCCTAATCTATAGAATAAAAATAACAAAATCTACCACATAGGACTGTTGAGATAATTTAATTAAATTATATATCCATTCCAACTACCACTCAAGAATTGATACTTACTACACCTGTAAATGTTTCGGTTCAAGGTATCTTCAGAGTCCTTAAGTATGAAGTATTTGCTTTCTTGGTGTGTGTGTTTCCTGCATTTGAGTATATTAACTTGGATTTTGTTTTAACAGCTCAGGTGCCTAAAAGGCCAGAGGAGCTTCTCAGGCCAACCTCCTTTTGATGGAATCCACATCGTCAGCCATTTAATAGGAGATGATGAATCATTCCATTCTTCCGATGAAGATTTTATAGATAATTCCCTACAGGAAAGCGGCATTGGTTTTCCTTTGCACAGAAAGTCTGGCCTGATGTCTTTCGACCCCACTGTGGCAAATGGTAGTGAGAGTGAAACAGAAGACAGTGTGCTGGAAACTGGAGGAAATGAACAAGTGGTTCAAAAGGAACGGCCACCACAAAGAGAGTCCTACTCAACCACTGTCTGACCATCACTGTGACCTAGACTGGATTCTTTAAGGGATCAGTTAGCATTTCATTAGGGATTTTTGGAACACGTCTGTTTCATATGTACATATAACATAAATATTTTACAATATCTAGCTTCTTATCTTTGCCAAATCTTCACCACTGATTTTCCATTGCTATAAAGTAGAATGGGATATGGTTAATGGGTAAAACAAAGTTCTAACAGTATTACTGAATATTAATGTTTCTTGTTCAGAAAATAAAACTATATCTAAATGTGGGAACCATTTCGAAGTTCAAAACTGGAAATTAGAATTTTCTTCGGACAAAACTGCTCTTGTGCAATATTTTATGCTCAGTGAACAAATTGTATATGCTTACCTATTTGTCTTCAGGGTGTCTGTCTACAGACATTTGACCAAGACATGTACCTGATTTACCTTGTTTTTTGGAGACTTTTTTTTTCCTCTCACTAAAATTACAGCTTTGTTAGTAGGCCACTGAAGGTTCTCAAACACAAAGCCTCTTTTTCTGTATAGCTTTATAAACACAAATTAATTGTTATCTGTTTTGAGAGTTTTAAGTTTTGTTTTAATTTCTATTTTTTACATGTGTATAATGGTTCCATGTGTTGGTTACTGGTCAGAGTAGTAAGTTAACTACAAATATATTATTTGTACATATTTATAAATCTGCACCACTCAACATTGAACATCATTTTTATGAAGAACATACATGTTGCAAAATTACTGCTTTCAGCATTCTAACATGATTTCTATAAATAATAGGGTAAAAAAAATCAGACACTAATATTTTAATAGCTTTAGTATTTTGCTTAGCCTTCAAAACTAGCAGATTCATAACTGATGGCTGTTCAGAAAAATACTATTGGTGAAATCTTTTACTTCATGTGTATGTGACTAATAAATTTTTCATGATAAAAGAGATTATAGCACATATTATTTAGTGGTAATATTCTACTTAATACAATTTAAGCAGCAGGCTAAGTCTCCAAGATGCACAGCAACTTTATCTACAAATAATCTGAACATTATCTTCAAATTCTCTCTTTTTTTTTTTTTTGTGGTAAGGGGTTTAAATTCAGGGCCTCACATTTGCCAGGCAGGAGCACTTACGGCTTGAGCCACTCCACCAGCTCCTTATCTTCAAATTCTCTAGTTTCTAATCAATAGATAAAGCCATAAGAATTCTTTCTTACTAATTCTTCCTTTTTAATAATTTGGACATTTTCCCCTGGAAAAGTAAATGCCTGTCATTGATACATTGGAAGAAATACCCAAATTAACATTTGTCTATGGAAAGACCACAGTAATGTGTTGACTGGACACTGTCATTTTCATTAGCAACCTATGAAAAGAATAGCCATAGAGGATAAGAGAAAAGTAGAAGTATAGTTTTATACAGAATGTTACATGTAGAAAAATAATCTTATATGATGGAATGGAGTAGAAGAGACAAAACTAGTTTTATGTCTAAAACCAGACATAAGGCCATATGCTACATTGTGGATTAGGTTTTCGCAGAAGGCCTTCATAACTGTTTGCTTGCATGAGAAATTGAAAACAGCACCAGGTTAAATTCTGGTGGCTAATTAATTTACCTGTAGTCACAAGCTGGTAATTAGAGCTAAGACATTACTCTAGCTCTCTAACACCAAAGCTTTTAAAAAGGTCTAGCTAATGAATTTCTCAATTCCCTTCTCCATATAATTTAAATAATTTTTTTAAATTTTTATTTAAATTTTTCCTGAATGTATATAAACAGAAGCATGAATGTATGAATAAATACATTTAAGCTCTTCACAGTTTATAAATGCAGATACTACTCCTGGAATTGATATTACTCCTAGAATCTTTAGGCTTCTGTCAGTCCAGAAGACTTGATGCCCAAGTGAAATGAGGTGATGACTCATGGCCCTATTACTATCTTTACCTCTACAGCAAGAAATCTGAATGGGGACAAAGATATGGCTCAGTGATAGAGTGTCTGCGTAGTATACATGAACACGTTTTGATCCCCAGCACCACCAAAAAAATGTGGCAGCAGGATGGGGTACAGATCTGTATGAATCAGCAAACTGTAGCTCACAAGCTAATTCCAGTCAGCTGCCTGGGTTTACTTTAAATAGTAGAGGGAAAATTCAAAAGAATAATATTTTGTGTCACACAAAAACTGTATGAAATTCTCATTTCAATGTCCATAAATAAAGTTTTATTGGAACCCATGTTTTATACATTTACGTTATTGTCTGTGGCTAATTTTGTGCTTTTTAATGGCAGAGTTAAGTAGTTGCAATGGAGAGTACATGGTCCCCATTGCATAAAGTACTTGCTTTCTCACCTTTTACAGACAAAGTTTGCTAATGGGTCTAGATACTCCGGAATGTTAGGTTTACTTTTTAGTTTGGCTTAGTAGATCAAACCATAGGCTTTTGCTATTGAAATAATGATTTATAAGCCTAAAATTTCCTGGTGGATCTTATTCTCCAGAACTATTCAAAATGGCAAGTGTTCCAACTATCTTATGTAATAGTCTTTTATTCCATAGAAAATTTGGGAAGGACATCTGTACCTTTGGAGGAGAAAAAAGGAATAAATCCTAGAATCCTAGTCATGTTCTCTAAAACATGTATCATTGATCTTTAGGGTATGTTTTATTGAATATTTGCTGTAATTTAACTTTTCCATCTTTATAAACTCACATTTGAATTCCAAATTTTGAAAGATATTCTTAGAGGAGCTGGGGGTGACGCTCAGTAGTAAAGCATTTGCCTAGCATAAGCAAGGTCCTAGATTCAATCTCCAGCACCACAAAAAAAAAAGAAAAGAAAGATGTGCTTAGCCAATTTCGTAAGTACTCTCTCTGGTTAGGAATTAATTATTTAAAAATTATGATAAGTAAACCTTCATTTATTGATGCTCATAATTTGTACAATGAAAAACTAGAAACAGCATTCATTCCAAGTCTTTGATTCAAGTCAAGTGCAGTAACGCACATCTGTAGTCACAGCTACTCGGAAGGTTGAAACAGATCACTTGAGTACAAGAATTCAGGAACAGACTGGGTAAACAGATCCTGTCTTGAGGAAAAATTATTTAGATACACCTTACTTAGGAGTATTTAAAATCTTCCCGGCCTTTAGGATGCAGTAGTATACCATGCTCTGATTTCTTTCAGATTAATGAATTGAATTTCATTAAAATTAATGTAAGTATGTTGTTCAAGACGTTGAGGTATTGAACTGTTCTATTGGCAGATTTTATTTAATCTCTGATATTTTTGTGTCATTTAAATATTATTCGTTTAAACACTTAGGGCAAATAATGAGTGAAATGACTAACAGTGGAAAAACTTGATCCATTGGAATAGTTACCTTCCTGATGTCATTGCCAGCTTGGGTTGATAACACTGAAAGTAGAGGCTACATGTTATCGGAAAAAAGTGGAAATTGCACTGAAATAATGAGACTCTTAGAGACTTAAGATCAAAAAAGCACTTCAGACTTTTAAAAATTTAGTGGTATACTTTTCCTTCTTTAAAAAAAAGGTTAAAGATGTAACTTTACACAATTTCTGCTATGGTGTTTTTGGTTGTTATTTTGGGGGGAAAGGGGTTTTTTTCTTTTTTCTTTTTTGCTAGATAGTAGGCATTCAGTATTGGCTGACTAATAAATATATCAAGTTCCAACTAGCCAGTTACTTTGAAAGAAAGAAACTTTTTCCTCAACTCTGAACATGATACAGCTTGTTACTCTCCAGGTAGTGCCTTTGATTGAAAATAACATCTAGACCTTTTGAAGTATGTTATTGCTGACATCATAAATCATTTGATTCCTTGTTTAGTAATGCACTATGATATTCAGATTTAAAGTAAATACATGTGTAAATCATGTTTGGTGGAGGTTTTCATGGCCAGTTTGACCATTGTATAGTGTCAGGCATTCACAACTAACATCTTGTGAAATCAGCAATTTTTTACTTTTTAAATCAGTGAGTTTTACCTTGAAAATTATTGCTGCTCTACATTAACAAAACATGGTTTTTTAAAAATCACTCATTTTAATTCTACTGAAATTAATGAAAACTTCAAATTAAAAGTAAGAGTGGATCTTGCTACAATCCAAGCTTTTACATCATAACCGCATGTTCCTTCTTTT